CTTGACACGGTAATACTCAAACTCCGTGAAGTGAAGGGTGTCTCCTAATGTCACTCACTCTAAACCTGACCAGACAGCTTCTTAAGTATTTCCTAGTCACAGTGTGTCTACAGCGATGGAACAGTCGATGAGGGCACTGCTGACAGCTCACTAGGCATGGCTAAAGGTGGACTGGCAGAGAAATCAGCTTCTTTTTATTCTTCATCAGTAGCTTATAGGAACACCTTAATAATAGGCAATCTACAGAAAAGGCATTTCTATATGTGATGTGCAAATTTCCTGCCTATATTTTAACATTCCATCTTTAATACTGAACTCTCTTTAATCAAGCAATCTAAGTTCATAAAATCTGAGGGCAATTTCCAGAAAGATCAGCACCACCAACAACCTAACTATATAGGACGCCTGGTGTCTCCCTAAACCTGGGAACTGCCCTAACAAAAGTGGGACGAAGGTTTTACAGACTACAGTGCAGCCTCAGTATGGTATCACAGGAGGTGGAGACCGGTGAGCCAGGGGCTGGGGCTAAGGAGACCATACTGGAATTTTAACACAAGAACCCAGACCTGGAACTCGCAGGAGGGAGTAGCATAAGTAACTGCAAAGGAACAGCTGTGTGCCAACCTGAATAAGTAAAAGCAAACTGCAGACCTGTGGGTGGCAGAGCTTAGAAACTTACCCCAAGGAGAAGACTCTGCTGACCACAAGTACAATGACAAGGGCAAAAGGACAGAGGCACAATGAATGTTACTGAAGACTCCCCTGCAAAGGAGCAAAACCCTTTGCCAACCCAGAGTTATCTGAGGCAAACATTGAGAAAATGGAGATACAGAATTCAAACACTTGTTTACAGTTTCTTATCAACAACGAAAAGCATATAATGCAGAAGTATAAGGAATTTCAGGAATATGTCACACAGGAAATGAATCAAATGAAAGCTGATATATCAGAAATGAAGAATACAGTGGAGCAAACTAAAAGTACAGTGGAGAGTCTCCAAAGCGGAATGAAGGAGGCAGAAGAAAGAATCTCAGAATTAGAAGATATTTTCTGTCACCAGGGGGAAACAAACAATAAGCTGGAAGCAGAGCTGGATCAAGCTTTAAAAAAGTATTCAAGAACTGAAAGACACTATTAAAAGGCCAAATGTAAGAGTTATGGGAATCCCAGAAGGTGCTTAAAGAGAAGCTGGGTTTTTAAATGTATTTAATGAAATAATAAGGGAAAAATTCCCTAATCTGGAGAAAGAATTGGGAAACAACCCAGGAGGGGCACAGAACTCCCAACAGAGTTGATCAAAGGCAATCTTTACAACATATGCTAACCAAGCTCTTTTCAAATATAAGAAAAAGATCATTAAATGTGCATGTGAAAAAAAAATCAACTGACATATAAAGGAATACCAATTAAAATCACAGGAGACCTTTCACAGGAAACTAAACACCAGAAGAGAATGGAGCAACGTATTCCAGATTCTAAAAGCAAAAAACTGTCAGCCCAGGATTACGTACCCAGTAAAGGCTTCCTTTGTTTTTGAAAATGAAATAAAATTCTTCCACAGTAAAGAAAAGTGCAAAGAGTATGCCTTTTCCAAACTTGACCTACAAATGATACTTCAAGATGTTCTCTTTACAGAGAAGAGGAAAAACACCCACAACAACCAAGGATGTGAAATAACAAGACTAAATCAATGAACAACCCATTGCTAACTGACAGGACCAAATTACCACCCATTCCTATTAACCCTGAATGTCAATGGATTAAACACATCAACCAAACGTCATAGGTAAGTAGACTCGATTAAAATAACATAATCCATCTATTTGTTGCCTACAGGTGACATATTTCACCAACAAAGATCAGCAGAAACTTTATCTCATGGATTTTGAGCTTTTTATTTTTTAAATTTCATGTCTTTCACTCTTTCATTAAATTCTTCACTGACTCATACACCAGCATCATTTTCTTCAAGATTTCCTGTTTTCTTTTTTATTTCATCAGCAACACATTAGTCATTCAGTAGCATGTTATTTAACTTCATGACATTGTTAATTTCTTTTTTCTTCCTGTTGTTGATTTTGTTTTGTAGCTTTTCACTGAAAGGGATGTACAGTAAGTGTGTAATGGAGACTATTACATCCAGAAGCATGTTATTTAATTTCATGGTATTGTAAGTTTCTATTTTTCTTCTTATTGTTGATTTTGTATTGTGGCTTCTCATTTTAAGGGGAGGTATAGTAACTATCAAATCCAGATGTGAGGATACAATGCAGTATGCATCTCTACTTCCAGATCAAAGATGGACTCCCACTGAAACTGTTAAGTGTATCTTGACAATAGGATGCTGGACTCTCTGCTATTGTCCATGTCCGCAATGATGGACATATGACCATTTATGAAGAATTAGACTATAGTAATAATACAGGGGAACTCAATGAGGTGGGAGGGGACTTGGGCAGGGGGAAGGGAAATCTCAGGGTCTATGGAATTGTATCATAAAATATAATAATAAAAAGAAGTTAAGAAAAAGATTAATAAAGTCCAAGAGGGCCTGGTATGATAGCGTAGCGGTTAAGGTACTCACCTTGAACATGCTGGGATCTCATATGGGCGCTGGTTCTAATCCTGGCGGCCCTACTTCCCATTAAGCTCCCTGCCTGTGGCCTGGGAAAACAGTTGAAGATGGCCCAAAGCTTTGGGACCCTGCAGCTTTGTGAGAGACCCAGAAGAAGCTCCTGGCTTCAGATCAGCTCAGCTCTGGCTGCTGTAGCCACTTGAAGAATGAATCAGTGGAGGGAAAATCTTTTTTTTTCTTTCCTGTAATCTGCCTTTACAATAAAAATAAATAAATATGGGCCTGGCACAATGGCCTAGTGGCTAAAGGCCTCACCTTGAACACGCCAGGATCCCATATGGGCGCCCTGCTTCCCATCCAGCTCCCTGCTTGTGGCCTGGGAAAGAAGTCAGGGACGGCCCAAAGCCTTGGGACCCTGCACCTGCATGGGAGACCTGGAGGCAGCTCCTGGCTTCGGGTTGGCTCAGCTCCAGCCGTTGCGGCCGCTTGGGAAGTGAACCATCGGATGGAAGATCTTCCTCTCTGTCTCTCCTCCTCTCTGTATATCTGACTTTCCAATGAAAAAAAAATTTTAAATCTTAAAAAAAAAAAAAAAAAGACCAAGAAAGAGAAAGCGATCAAGCGGGAACCAAGCACCACTACTGTACGTTCCAGCAGAGTGAGTGTGTGCCACTAGCATTCTCAGCATTGGCGTTCGTACAAAGAGAACTGCATGCATTCAATATTGTCATAGAAATATTTCCTTTATTTTAATCATTAACATTTAAAAATAATCCTGTCATTATTTCTTTAAAAGCAGCATACTCCTTTATTAAAAAGAAACACTAGAAACATGGCTTCTTTTTGAGAAATAATCTCAAAAAAAAAAAAAAAACAGAGAAAACAGACTTCTATACCAACTAATGGAAAACTAACCATTATGGGTCTAATTCCGACACAAACGTAGGTCATCTGTCTGAATACGTGTTAGGACTGATTTTGTCTGTTCAATTAAAACACTTCCATTTCTGAACTAACTACTGAAATTCTAAAAGTGCTCATTTCCCTGGCTATTCTGTCTTGTGAACGGATTTATAAAGTTCAGATGCTGTTTACCTTACAGCGACAGAGTGGAGAGAACAGAGACAACACTCCACAGTACGAGAGATGTTCATCTCCTCTTTACTGTTTTAAACAAACTATAAGGTTCAACAAATATATTCAGGCTTCCATAATTTGCAGGTGTCTTGACTGTCTTAAATTTTCTTTATCCTTATTTAGAACTCTTCTGCCTCTTAGTATTGATCCTGTAGAATTAAACAAACAATTCCACTCCAATCATATTCCATGTTTCATACAGTTTGAATTAAAACATCAAAGAGATAAAATGTACCCAAGAGTCCTCACCACCACCATCACTTCTAGTTTAGGGACATCTCGAGGTCTCCCTGCCCTCAAGGTTCTTAGAACCTCTCACTTCAGTACAAGGCTTCTTCCTCACAAACACTAGGAGACTATACATTTTCACTTCTACTAGTTTCAACAGTAAGTAGGCTGGCACACTTCAGTATTGACCTATTTTGTAAAATATGTTGTAAGAACTGGCTAGGATTCATGATGACCCCAGCATCTGGTCCGACTGCTTGGCTTGTATGGAGACACCGAGCTTACGACTTCATGACTCCTCTGCAGTGTCTGATCTGACCTTTCTCACACAGCACGAGTCTCCCCTGGCAACTACTGAAAGAAAAGACACAAAACTCCAGGCTGATGATTGGAAAAAACTGTAGCACTTCTGGTAGGGCTAGATGAAGGCTGAGAGAAAAATACTGAACACAAATAAGATGGAGTTAAGTCATCCACGGACTTGACCGACTCATATTAAAACTTGTCTTTTCTTATTGAAGTTGAACAGAGAACAGCCTGACAGAAACTGGTAGTCATATTCATACATTGATCATTTTGAAACACTCCAATGATGTTCTCCAATACTTTTATTATCTCCAGTTATATGGTGCCATACTATGTTTTTCATTAAATTTCCCACTTCCATAATTAAAATACCCTCAAATTATTACACATTCCCTTAAACAGTCAAAAATAGTTTTACTGGAATGTTTTTAGTAACAGCTGAAGGTAGCAACATTTACAACGTTTAGCTTCTGTTATACTCATAAACAAGTAGGAATTGCTGACAAAGCAACTGCAAAGAAAAAAGAATGATATTCTCACAAATACTGATGGGATGGTCTACAACTTTCAGCATAATAATTTGGAATTCCATATAGGCTTCCTGACCCTCATCTTTATGCTTCTAGAACACTAGCATGAAATACTGTCATCAGTGTTTGACTAAACACAAATAGAATGACCTGGCAAGTATCTAGTTTCAAATTAGACCCTTGGGATATAGCAAAATAGAGGCTGGTTTTCTTTGCATCATACATAATTATTCAATGCACATTTTATTAGACGGGAAGGACACAACTGGACATTCTCAATGCTCCAATTCGAACTGATACTTGCCTCTTGGTTTCTTGGAAAAAGAAGTTTGGAAAGTCTTATACATAGATTTCATTTAAATTATGCAGCAATCTTTTGTTATTATTGTCCCAGATCTTGTTTAATGAAGATTTCTGTCATCAAATCAAGCACGGTATTTCACAACTATAAGAACTGTAAGAGAAAAAATGAAATACATTAATATGTAAGAAGCAGTGTTCCTAAATGTAGCTCTATCCAGTTGCTGAAATGGGTAATGATGGCTGAACTTTTAGCTGGAATAGTAAATAAGAAATGAGAAAGGAAAAATATCATAAAACTATCTAGATGTTTAATACTGGCATTTGGATCAATAAATGCTGGTATACCAATAACGTGCAGTTGCTAAGATGTTATTAAAAACCATTAACAGAAAAATATTCACAGTGTATTTCTTAGACTACATGTCTAATGTGCTCTTAGTTTTGCAAAGCGTGCCTGTACAGTGAGGGGAAGATCAGAAGCATCTATAACAGGTGTGTGAATAATAACCGTCTGTGGTAAGATTACTGTTGAACTTTATTTTCTTTATGCTAGTCCACATTTTCCAAGCTGTCCACCGTATATTTGCAGTTGATTCTTGTTATCTGAGGTAGTTATGTTCCTTAAAGTCAGCACAAACACTGGGCCACTGGCGGGAAAGCCCAGGGAGCAGTGCTGTGAGACTCAGGCTGCTGGGTTTCTGTCTGTCGGAACATAACCTTCATGTCTGCATTTCATTTAATATGTGGCATCTTCAACAAGTTCATGAAAAATACTTCTCAAAATTCTCTGCACTAAACTGATCTTTTATTTCTATTTTCCAGACGTTTCTGAAGTACTGCTGAGGCCCTGACATTGACCTCAAGTCAGCAGCGCCCCAAGCCACCCCTCCAGTCTCCAAGGCACAGCACAGATTTCTTGTTTAGCAACAGAGAGAGCACTTCAGCACTACACTTAGGAGAAACTGAAACGATGAAATCCTGAACAAAAAGTACAAACGTGTGGAAAGTTCACCACTAAATGTTTAGACTATAAAAAGACTACTTAGGGGAACTGAAACAAGAAGGTAGACAGCTTTGCTAGGCTCTGCTGTAAATGTGTGGGTCAGGGGACTCATTTATTCATTTTACTTCTTTCTGTATGTCTCTGGCCACAAAAAATCATCATGAGTGCCAGCTTGGGGAGAATAAACGAATTTTGGCTAGTAAGTAAATTAACAATCAGAATCCATGAAAAATAAGAATAGGTTATATTTCTGCTAAAAAAAAAAACAAAAAACAAAAAACTTTGTTCTAACAAGGGAACAGCATCACACATATTTCCAGCTCTTCTGAGACAAATTCCTAGCTATTCTGAGACACCTCCCACAACTTCACAAAATCTCTGTGCATACAATAAACTTCCAAGAAAAGAGATATTACATTAAGTCAAAAAGAGGAGAGGGCACAGAATTAAATCTAAATCAATGATGAAGAAAACCAGGGTCAAATCTTCAAGAAAAAATCACCAAAGCTAAAATACCCATCCATGTGAGAACTCAGCTGGACACCACGAGATGTGACCTGCAAACCTGAAAGTGAACAGTACATGCAAGACGAATGTCCTGAGACATCTGCATCTGAGTGTGGGTGGGAGACGGGCCGAGGGCTCCCTTGGGGAATCAGACAAAAGCTACATATCCTCATAAAACTCTACTTCTGGATGTTCATGCACTTATAAAACTTAAGGATGTTTTCAGAGATCAACAGGGTCTAGGTTAAGGGTTCGTGACTCAGGTCAGAAGTCATAATTCAATCCTGACATGAGACATACCAGGTCAACTGAAAATAAAAAGCGAATGAGAGTGAACCCCAAAACCATTCCTGCCCCCCAAGACAGCGTCACGGAAAGTACTTACTGATGATCACCAGCAGAAGGACGACAGCAGCCAAGGCCATGATGGCTCTCACCTAAACACAGAAAGACATACAAGTCACGCATGTTGAGAGCTGAGACTGCCGTGCCCACACACGTGAGGTCTTCATTATGAAATGTTACACGCGGATCAAACATTTTTTTGCACCAAAATAAGCTTAGCATTTAATCCTATTGTCCAGGGAACTTTTAAAAGTACCTTCATACACTAACTCATCCTCCAACAGGCACACTCCTTGGAAGATCTTCCCATTTTCTAACGTGAACCTGATGGCTGCTCTGCATTTCCCTGGTCAAGGCCGACTGTACAGTGAGCAGTTACAACCAAAGCCTTAACCAGCCTGCAAGTTTCTGTACAGGTTTCCAGGCACGCATTGTCATGTCAGATCAAGAAAAGCGACACTTCCACAGCTCCATTCAAGGGTCACAGGCAGCCAACCACAATGCTTCAATCAACAGCAGTGTCCCCTTTTCTACCGTGCAGCATTCAAAGGACCCCCAGAGGAAGTCCAAACCCCAGACACCCCGCTTTCCCTCCATGTGCTCAGGCATACCTGTGATAAGGCTTCATTTAGGGCTTCCCTGAGGGTCACCCCAAGCTAGCCACACCCCATTTCCTGCAGCCCCTCCACACTTAAATTCCAGCCCTTCCTAATGCCCTCTATTCCCTAAGCCCTGGCCGCGAGGCTGACCGGTATCCCCAATGTTCCTGCACCTTTCTGCCACCAGCCTACAGGACCTGCAAAGCAGCAGCCAGCCGGGGGTCTGGAAGCTTACTGAGCCTCATACGGAAAGCTGGAGTGCTTGTCCTGGCTCTGTCACTAGCTGGCTAGGGGCCGTGTGGTCGCTGAGTGATCCCTGGGTCTTAGCTTCCACATCTGCAAGCATGGGTGGGGGGAGGCCGGTGCAGTAGCCTAGCAGCTAAAGTCCTCATGTTGCATACACCAGGATCCCACACGGGTGCCAGTTCTAATCCTGGTGGCACTGCATCCCATCCAGTTCCCTGTGACCAGGGAAAGCATTTGAGGATGGCCCAAAGCCTTGGGACCCTGCACCCACGTGGGTGACCTGGAAGAAGCTCCTGGCTCCAGGCTCTGTCTCAGCTCAGCTCCAGCCGCTGCAGCCATTTGGGGAGTGAATCAGAGCATGCAAGATCTTCCTCTCTGAATAACTGACTTTCCAATAAAAATAAACCTTTTTTTATTTTTAAAAAATTTTTAAAAGATTTATTTATTTATTGGAAAGTCAGATATACAAAGAGGAGGAGAGACAGAGAGGAAGATCTTCCGTCCGATGATTCACTCCCCAAGTGAGCACAACGGCCGATGCTATGCCGATCCGAAGCCAGGAGCCAGGAACTTCTTCTGGGTCTCCCACACAGGTGCAGGGTCCCAAAGCTTTGGGCCAACCTTGACTGCTTTCCCAGGCCACAAGCAGGGAGCTGGATGGGAAGTGGAGCTGCCGGGATTAGAACCAGCGCCCCTATGGGATCCTGGCACATGCAAGGTGAGGACTTTAGCTGCTAGGCCACGCTGCCGGCCCAATAAACCTTTTTTAAAAAGTTTAATTTATAAATTAGTAAAGAAATTAACAATAATACTAGAGCAGTATTTATAATTCACTGCTGTGAAAGCTATGAGACTTCAGTCCCTGTCTTTGGACAGTATTTGCAGATGACAATGGCCCAGCCCAGCCACTGTGGCCACTCGGGGGGTGAAGCAGCACACGGAAGATCTCTTGTTCTCTTTCCCTCTTTGTCATAATTTCAAATAAATAAAATAATCTTTAAAAAATTTATAAATTAGGTTAATTTAAAAATAAACAGTCAATTTAAAGCCATCTCAAATCAATCCAGGTTTTCTCCCTGGGATATCTGACACCCCACCAGCAGTGCCACGAACACTAACCAGGTAGGGCTCAGCAGGAAGCTGTCAGCATCCCCCTCCCCACACTGCACAACCGCGCTTCCTTCCGGTGTTGTAGTCACTACTCTGCAAGTGGCTCCAGAGGTTAGTGTGTCTCCTGAAACCTCGGCCTTTACTGAGGCTTAGCGATGAAAGCATGGCAGGTTTTCCACAGAGCTTGAGGAAAGCAAATCTGTCGAATCCTGTCAAGGCCATCAGAGCACTGCAGACCCCTCGGAGGAGACGCAAGCATCTTTGGTTAGAGTTCTGACGGCCTACACACAATGCACATCATCTTGAGAATGGGAAGCCAAAAAGGTGAGGTCCAACCATGGCTCTTATCAATAAAAAGGAAGAAAAGCATGAGCTGGTAAGTGAGAGGAACACTGGATAACATCTGTCCACCGCTCATATTTGTAAAAGAAAGGGGAACTGAGGACTAATCCAGCAGCAGACGGGAAGCCGGTTTACGCCTCCAGTTCCTTTACCTGTTTCAGCGCAGAACAGATATTACACCTTAACTTTCCCTAGATGGTAAACAAAGGTTTCAGAAACCTGAATTTGGGGAAGAAAATTTCTATCAAGTCTCCCAAGGCAAGTGAGAAATATGTCTTATGTCCTTTATCTCATGAGTTGGACAACTACATAATATGTTTAGACAGAATTTCTTTCAATTCTACCTAAAAATACTAAAATAAAATTATATGAGAAAGCAACATAATTACATCTGAGCACATATAAGACCATGATACTCAATGCGAAGTACCCTTTCTTGTGAGAAAAAAACGACACACAAAATCCAATATCCGATTCAGAGACTCAATTACTTAAAGCCAGGTTTATTGAAGTCATTTTTACATAGAATACAATTCAGTCTCTTCAAGTAGATTCTGATGTTTCCACTACCATCATAATTAACCACCACTGACCCCAAAAGTTCCTTATATTCTGTTTTGTCAACTTCCAATTCCCTGAGTTTTAGCTACTGAGATTTTAACTGTTTTCTGTCCTTGATATTTTTTTTCATGGAGACATTTCATCATGTTTGGAATGGCAAGACTGGCAGCAATTCAGAACTGCTGAACTATCAAAACCACTTGAGCAGGACCCTCGGAGCGTGCCCCACATCGGGGACCTGGGATGGGTGGGAGGCTGGGTGGGGCTTCTCCCTTTTTCTTTCCCCTTATCCCAAATACAGAAAAAAATAACAATAACGTGGAAACAAATATCTTAAAAAATATTTTTTTCATAAAAACCTTGCTAAATCGTGAGAGGACACAAAAAAATTCATGAAAATATGTATCATAAAAAAACTACGCAAAAAATTTTAAAGCAAAATAAACTTTAATTCCAGTTTGATGCAAAATTTTTGTGGTATTTCCACACTAAAAAATCAATTAAGAAAGTGATTTAGTCAGAGAACGACAATCTCAGATGAAGAACAGCCCAAAGATGCACTAATGGACCACCATGAGAGTGAAGTGATCAAAGGCAAACACTTCACTCTAAGTAAACTTTCTAAGCTAAGGAACAATCTCTTTGTTACATGGCTGTTACTAATGGTAGACCCCAAGTGTGGTACAGAATATGCTAATACAATTCAGTGTGCTTTTTTCCCTTAAAAGCACATTACTTCTCTGCTGTAGAAACTTAAATTACAAAACTTTTTATAGCAAATTTCAAGTCATAAAAGCAAATCCAGTTTTCCCCCTGATTCTAGGTATAATTCTGGCTTTGTTGAAAATCTGAGATATAAACTCATTGTTTTTATTCCTTCATTTTTAAGTCTAGTGAAAACTTTCTACTTTCTAAACCTTCCCTACCCTAAGGGAAGGTTATCTTCCAAAAGCTGTCTTGGGTTGACTTACTCATTTTTTTGTCAGCCTTTAGCTTGTTAATTCCTTTCACTTTCTGAAATAGAACTGAGGAAAGAAACAGGTTTTTTTTTTTCTTTTTTATTTTATTATTATTATTATTTTTGATCCCCTTGTCTAGAATTTGTTTTCTGCATTAACTACTTGTTCTTTATAGAATTTGAGGCCTGACACTGTAGCCTAGTGGCTAAATCCTCGCCTTGCATGCACTGGGATCCCATACGGGTACCGGTTCATATCCCAGCAGCTCCACTTCCCATCCAGCTCCCTGCCTGTGGCCTGGGAAAGCAGTCGAGGACGGCCCAAAGCCTTGGGACCCTGCACCCATGTGGGAGATGTGGAAAAAGCTCCTGGCACCTGGCTTCTAATTGGCTCAGCTCTGACCTTTGTGGCCACTTGGGGACCGAACCAGCAGATGGAAGAGCTTTCTCTCTGTCTCTCCTTCTCTATTAATCTGAATTTCCAATAAAAATAAATAAGCCTTTTTAAAAAAGTAAATTTCCTGTTTTTTTCTTAAATTTTTCATTTATAAACTTCTGTTCTTTGAGAAGTTTGGTAAAACAAAAGGTCCATGGTCACATCTCTCCCGATGCTGCATTCATGCAGCTGTCCAAAACCAGCCATCCTGCGCACGGTGCCACGCCGCTTTTAAAATGGTATCTATAAAATGTTAAAGGAGACATTTGGTGTTTCATGATTAGACATTTCATGTGATTTAAGAGCTGAGTATATTCGATATGTTGTGCAGGTATATTTACATATATAGAGTACATAGTATTTTCCTGTTTTCTGTTAAACATTTCATGAATGTCTTATTTTTCTAAATAATGAGTTTGTGGGGCTTTTGTGTAACCCGTTTGTTGTTACAGATTCTGATAAATAAACTGCTTTTATTTTTCTCCTTTTCAATGGAAAATAATTTTTCTATAGTTTCTGCTTTCTTCCTTTTCTTTTTTAAACATTCATTTATTTTTATTGGAAAGGCAGATTTTCAAGAGAAGACACAGAGAAAGATCTTCATTTCCCAAGTGCCCACACGGAGCTGAGCTGATCTAAAGCTAGGAGCCAGGAGATTCTTCTGGATCTCCCTTGCGGGCGCAGGATCCCAAGACTTTGGGCCGTCCTCGACTGCTTTCCCATGCCATAAGCAAGGAGCTGGATGGGAAGCGGGGCTGCCAAGACACGAACCAGTGCCCATATGTGATCCCAGTGCATTTATGGCGAGGACTTCAGTCTGCTTTATTTCTTAATATCTGTATATACAATGTTGCTCTAAAAAATGCTAAAGTATAAGAAAGTGTAAATACACACTTACAAGACAGCAAGTTTAGACGTAGCTGATTAATCCATGCTAATAAAAGACGGATTATATTAGGAAAAAATCTATATATATGTCTTCTTAAAAAAATATTGCTTGATTCTTCTACTTTTATTTGTCCGAAAGTAATTTATCAATTCAGTAAGTATTTTCTGAGTTCCTACCATGTCTTAGGTCCCGAAGGTACTACACACAGGATCAGCTATAGCCCTGTCTTCTACGGGCCTCTCGTTGCTTCACATCTCTGATCACACTTGAGATGTTGGCCAATCTAGCCACTATCTTTTGATGTACTCACTTTGCATCCTCGCCACCACATTTGCCTTCGAAGTTGTTTGGATCTGTTGCTAAAAGCAGTTGCATTATCCGATAAGCTTTCTATATCACACAGAGGATGGAGAGAAGGATTAAACGACATGACAGGATTCTTTTATCTAGTCACACAAAGACAAGAAAATATTAATTTCCACATACACAAAGGTGTTCCCTTTTAAGCATAAACCAGTATTCTCCCTCTGTCCTACCCACAAGCTCCAGCACGTTATGCTAAAAAACAGAAGCACTTGCTAAAAAAAAACAGCTGCAACTTAGTTTGCTCAATCCATTTTTATTATCAAATTAAGAGAAGTCTTCCTAGGACCTCAATGCTTACAAATAAAATATTTCAGTTAAGAAAATACTCTTTAAAATCTCAGGCACATTCAGAAAAAAATCCACATGGAAATATTAGATTCTTAGAAGGTACTGGAAGTGATTACTTTTAAGGAAAGACATGAATTTTAAAAATGTTTAAGCAGGATTTCAGTTAAGCAAGTCTGAAAAGAACTGATTGGGTATTCAAGCAATATTTTAGTGACTAATTTATACAAGGAACTGTCACAGGTGCACAAACTAAAATCTGTTAATAAAAGGTGGCTACCGAGTTGCCAGAAAAAAAAAAACCTGTAAAATAAATAATATTAAATCAGTTTAAAGGTGCTGGGAAAAAGTGATTACTTGAATGCACAAGAAACACAAAGCATATCAAAATAATAAAGGAAGAAATAGCGTCACTTTTCACTCTTCTTCAACAGCGATTTTAGAATCTGCAATCCTCAGCTGACCGACTGAAGAACCCATGTAACTGATGCCAACATGTACCAATTTCTACAACCCAAGATTCCTAAGCACTGGCAAGACAAGTGGGAATCTACACAAACTAGCAAAACAGATGCAGAGGGTCAAGAAATATACAAAATATCTGTACCTGATTTGTCCTGTAGTTCATCTAGTCTCTCCCCTCTTTCAATTACCTTTGTAATATTTTCTTGCATGACATCAATAACTTCATCCACCTGATTCTGAACACTGGTTTAAAAAAAGAAAAATTATTCTTCTTTGAGAATGTTTTTAATTTGGAAGTTTTCATTAGGATAGAGTAGCAAACTCTCAGAGAATTATAGCTTAATAATTATTAAACTGTAAAACTTAAGTTCAAAACTTCGTAATAATTTTCCATTTGAGCTTGAATATTCGAGTACTTAAAAAATAACAGAAATTTAAGAAATACTTAACTCATAATGGTTTCTTTGCAGCCCATTTGTGACTAGTAATATAATTCAGATGCAAATTAAATGTACTGCTAATCAAAAGCCCCCCTGGCAGATCTGAGAAGCAGGTTGGGGTGCAGGACAGGCTGGGTCTGGCTGCACCACCAGCCAGTTCACATTAGTGCCAGGACTGGGGGCTGACTACACCGGGCTGGGCAGCAGCTCCAACCAGCGCAAGCTGGAATGCGGGCAGACTGGCGGCAGGCTAGGCTACAGCACCCGCCGGTAAATGCCAAGGTGACATGGGCCACACCAGACTGGGCTGGCTTCAGGACCCACCGGCCGGGGGTAGGTGGGCTGAGCCTGGTAGGGAAGTAGTGGGAACTCCCATGCTGGGCCACTGCTCCTGCTGGCAAGCATGAAAACTGGGGGCAGACCAGGCTGCACAGGGCTACAACACCTGTTGGCCTACATGTGAACTGGGTTAGGGGGAAAGCCAGGCTGGGGTCACGGATTGTATCCACTGATACAGACTTGAGCCAGAGTAAGAGCAGTGGGTTGGGCTTTGCCACAGCATTAGCCGGCAAGCGCTGGGGCTATGGACAAGTCCTGTTGAGCTAGACCACAAAACCATTTGGAGAGTGAAAGATCTGGGGCAGGGAGTGGGTGCAACGGGGAGGCTATGCGCACTTCTCTGAAGGGCTGCAGCTCCCACTGGCGAGCATAAGAACCAGGACTGGGGGTGAGCTTGGCTGGACAGGCGGTGGCACTCGCTGGCATAAGAGTGGGCTGGAGGGAGGAGTTGGTTTGGTTGAGTTAGGCTTCAATGCCAAATGATGTGCTGAGCTGAAGGAGATGTGGGACAGACCGAACTAGTCCACGTTGGCAGGCACAGGAACCAGAGCTGGGGGCTAGACCAGTGGGGATTTTGGGGGTCACTCTGACTGGGCTTCAACTCCCCCTGTGGTACATGAGGGCCCAGTGTGTGGTGGGTAGGGCTGGGCATGGCCACAGCACCCATTGGTTTGCAGAGGAAGGAGCGCAGAACAAACTGATGAACTACTCCAGTGACACCTGCCAGTAAACTTCCGGGAGAATGGAGACTCTGAGGTGGACTACGTCAGCCAATTGACCTTGGAAGGATTTCCTCATCCGTGGAGCAGCGATATCAATAGCTGCACAACGGGGACCCTGGGGTGACACCGGGTCCTGGGGAGGCTGGGCGGGGTCTCTCCCATTGCATCCTCCCCTCCCCCAGATACAGGAAGAGGAAAAACAAAATGTGTAAACAATCGTCTTGCCCACTTTTCCCTGATCCTCAACCTTCCCACCCTGATCAACTATGTAAGCATCATCAAAAATAAAATTTAAAACTATATTTTAAAAGAATGTACTGTCAAAATGCTCGATAACTGCAGAATTCAGTCAAACAGCTTAACTCTAAAGTGGCAGTTTCATCTTCTTGTCACTGGGCTCCTGAGACAGAATGTAAACACAATTACAACTGACATTTGTGTCAGAAGTTAATGAAAAGTATCTAGTTTCCCAAACAGAACCCAGTGTGTTTTAGGGGATACTGACAATCCGTGAGTGGAATTCTGATGTAAGGATAGCTCCTCACTGCTTACCAGTTTGCTCTGAAATACAAACAAGGCTTACAACAGCTGGGAACAAACAAGCAAATGTTTCTGTTGTCCTTCAAAGTGAAAACATTTTCCTGACTGGTACTGTGGCATGGCAAGTTGAGTTGCCAACTGCAGTGCCAGCATCCATATGGATACAGGTTCTAGTCCAGGCTGCTCCACTTCTGACTAGCTCCCTACTAGTGTGCCTGGGAAGCAGCAGAGGATGGCCCACGCATCCACATGGAAGATCTGGAAGGAGTTTCTGGCTCCTGGCTTCTGACCACCTGACTCCAGTCGTTACAGCCATCTGGGATGAGCCAGGGCCTGGAAGAGCTTTGTCTTTTCCTCTGTCTCTATGTATTTCTGTCTTTCAAATAAGTAAATAAATAAATATATATATATATTTTATTTATTTTATTTTTATTGGAAAGTCAGATATACAGAGAGGAGGAAAGACAGAGAGGAAGATCTTCCATTCAATGGTTCACTCCCCAAGTGAGCGCAATGGCCAGTGCTCTGCCGATCTGAAGCCGGGATCCAGGAACTTCTTCCAGGTTTCCCATGCAGGTGCAGGATCCCAAAGCTTTGGGATGTCCTGGACTGCTTTTCCAGGCCACAGGCAGGGAGCTGGATGGGAAGCAGGGCTGGCAGGATTAGAATCGGCACCCATATGGAATCCCAGCGCATTCAAGGCGAGGACCCCAGCTGCTAGGCCACACCGCCGGGCCCAGTAAATAAACGTTTTTTAAAAAGACGTGCTTTCCACCACCTTTATCAGATTGTGGTGATGTGTTATAAGTACAGTTCAGCCACCTCCTCACACTTGGGGCACTACATTCTAGAACTGTCTCCATCTTTGGTTTTGTTTTTATCTTTCTTATTTTTAGTATAGACGATGTTGACGTAGTTGATCAGGGTGGGAAGGATCGAGGGCTATGGAAAAGTAGGTGGGATCGTTTCCCGATTTTCCATCTCCTCCTCCTGTATGTGGGAGAAGCCGCACCAGCCTCCCAGCCACTGGCATGCTCTACCTAAACCTCAGCCGCACGGCACAGTGGATTCAGCTTCATCAAGCCGTACGTGACTTTGGAAGTAATTTTGCAAGATTCTTCTATACGTGTATTTTCTCATGTTTAAATTTGAGATGATGATCTCTATCTCCTATCTGAGAATTAAATGTGATAATATTTGTCACTTAGCACAGTGCCTAAGACCTTGTGTGTGCCAATATTTGTTCACTATGAAAAGAAAATCCAAGCTCTGCAAAACACATCCTTTTTTTATACAGAGAACATTTTCACAGTTAGCAGCCCCATCTTGTGGCCTTTTTAGGTACTGCTGACAAAAGCAGCATTATACAGTTAGGCTGGTTTTCTCCAAATACATGTATAAACTGCAGCTGCCCCAGGGAACATTTCCTGTTGGCCTGCTAAGAGTTAAGCTGGTTAACCTCGGCTATAGCCAGGGATTCCCCACTCTGAGAGACAATGTCCTGACATCACAAGAGTGACACTTAAAATGCTATTACTCTGAAAGTAAACATTCCAAAGAGAATCACAAATTTTATACAGACATGTGGCTACTTAAAATTCTTGCTAACCCCCCCAAAAAAACCTTTCTGAAAGATGATAGCTACTGTCTGTAAGATTAATCTATTATAATCATTAATACTTAATGAGTAATTAAATAGTAAAAAAAAAAGCAACAAAGTATTCATCAATGTAGTCAAAAAATACTTTGTACTGAAATATTACAAATTAAGTGACAAACACTGGTTATGGAAATTAACAATTTAGATACTAAACCAATGTCAGGACTTGTCCTATATATATAGTAATATATATATGTTCTAATCAAATGACTTTACAAGAACAGGTTGTAGGGGCCCGGCGCGGTGGCGCAAGTGGTTAAGGTCCTCGCCTTACACGCCCGGGATCCCATATGGGCGCCGGTTCTAATCCCGGCAGCCCCGCTTCCCATCCAGCTCCCTGCCTGTGGCCTGGGAAAGCAGTCGAGGACGGCCCAAAGCCTTGGGACCCTGCACCCGCGTGGGAGACCCGGAAGAGGCTCCTGGCTTCAGATTGGCTCAGCTCCAGCCGTGGCGGCCGCCTGGGGAGTGAATCATCGGACGGAAGATCTTCCTCTCTGTCTCTCCTCTCTGTATATCTGCCTTTCCAATAAAAAAAATAAATAAATCTTAAAAAAAAAAAAAGAACAGGCTGTAGCCAGGCCTAACACACAGGTTAGGGTCTGCCAACCTAAATATGCTATCATTTAAACAGGTCAATGTCTCAGGCACTTACTGCTTAATTTTATCACTCCTAGGTCCAAATCTTGGTCCAGATGGTCCCCTTCTGAAAACAAAATATCAAGCACCTATTAGTAACAACAGCACTAAAAAGAAACAGACAAAAACAAATAACAAACTCATATCCGTACATGTAACCAAGCTGAATAAAGGACCTGGTAGGGCCGGGACTGAACACGTCAGCATGTCTTCACTAGCACTTACTGGACACAATTAGTCTCACAGAGAAATCAGAATTTATATAATCTGTAGTTATACACTTTGCTCTAATCACTAAAGTATAAAATATTATAACAAACTGCCAATTAATATCTTTATGATGAACTGTGGATCTAAAACCAAGCTATTCCCTTTGAATTGAGGTTATGATGAAACACTGAATGATGGAGAGAACATTCATTCAAAACACTAAAAAATGTAACTGTCTTTATTTTGGTAAATATAAAGACACTCATCTTAAGCTTGCCAGCACAGCACAGGGGAAAGCAAGAGTCTAAGGAAATAGAAACAGTTCTCAAATTATTACCTCTTTGTATCACCACTGATTTATCTGAAAGGCAGAGTAAGAGAGAGAAAGATTTTTGCCTCCACTGTTCCTCCAGATGGCTGCTGCGACGGCTGACACTGGGCCGAGCGAGAGCCGGGGGCTGCTGCGGCCCCCGTGGGCAGCAAATTCCCAGGGATGCGGTCAGCCCTTCTGCTTTCCAGGTGTATTGCAGGGAGCTGCACAGGAAGAGCAGCTGCACTTTGAATTGCACCATGTTAGGGAAAGCTGGTTGTCTCGGGGCAATGGCTTACCGTACTGAGCTAAGAATTCGGCCTCAAACTTTTGGCTATTTTAAGTAATTTTCTCCTGAAGATATAAAGTAAGATATTAACCACAAGACTCAATATAAATCAGGCCCGACACAGTAGCCTAGCAGCTAATATCTTTGCCTTGCACACACCAGGATCCCATATGAGCACTAGTTCATATCCCGGCTGTCCTGCTTCCCACCCAGCTCCCTGCCTGTGGCCTGGGAAAGCAGTCGAGGACGGCCCAAAGCCTTGGGACCCTGCACCTGCGTGGGAGACCTGGAGGAGCTCCTGGCTCCTGGCTTCAGATCGGAGCAGTACCAGCCGTTGTGGTCACTTGGTAAGTAAATCATTGAACGGAAGATCTTCCTCTCTGTCTCTCCTCCTCTCTGTATATCCCCCTTTCAAATAAAAATAAAAATAAATCTTAAAAAAATACATAGACTTAAGAAAAAAGAAGATGCAGATATATTTGTCTGGTTTATTAAATAACTGAAGACTTCAAAGTAGTTATAGGAATAAAATTAGCTCTCTGAATAAGAAGGTTAAGGTTTCCTTGATAACCTTCTAATGTGATCAGGGAAAGAAGAAAGAAGACTTACTAATGGCAGAAGCGGGCAGGAGACAGCTCTGCAGACGAATGTGTCACGGTTATGGAATGTTCACTGAGGGAAGCTAACTTGGAACTCTGCATTGTGTATGCAACTCTTATGTAAGTTTAAAATTAAAAGAATGTTAAATCATACAAACGAAAATCCAAAAATAGTTAATTCTGCCAAAAATTTTAATGAAGAAATAAAACCAGTTCTATAGAAACCTTTCGGGAAAAAACTAAAGACACATTTCCAAGCTCATTGTTTTGGGGCCTAACACTAATCTGTAACGAAAACAAGACAAAGACATAATAAGAAAAAGACATAACTAAAATAACCCAAACCTCTCACAAGCAAAGATGTAAATATTCTCACCAAAATTTCGTTTCCAACAATTTTTGAAAGATTAATTTAACAAGAAGAGTTTATCTCAAAAATGCAAGATTTTAAACTCCAAAATCAATCTAATCTACCATGATAAAAAATATGATCATCTCAAGAGATAAATGCACAAAAAAATAATGATAAAACCTCAAAAAACTGAGTGTATTAGTTTACTTTCTAAAAACAATTTTTCAAATGTATTTATTTCAGTTGAAAGTCAGAGACACAGAGAGAGGAGAGACAGAAACAGAGAGGGAGGGAGAGAGGGAGACAGGATCTTCTATCCACTGGTTTAACTTTACAAATAGCCGCGACCACCAGAGTCGGGCCAGCCCAAAGCTGGGAGCCAGGAGCTTTTTCCGGGTCCCCCGTAGGGTGCAGGAGCCCAAGGACTTTAGCCACCCTCTAATGCTTTCCCAGTCCAGAAGCAGGGAGCTGGATCAGAAGCGGAGCAGCCAGGACTAGAACCAGTGTCCCTATGGGATGCCAGTGCTGCAGATGAAGAATGAGGGTGTCACACCACTGCACTGGCACCCAGAGTCTACTTTCTTAGTTTGAAAGAAGGCATGTACAAAACAATTGCCACAGGGGGCCAAGTGGCATAATAGACCAATCTTCAGCCTGCAGGGCCAGTACCCAGCTGCTCCACTTTCACTCTAGTTCCCTGTTTACGACCTAGGAAGGCAGTGTAGGATGGCCCAAGTCCTTGGACCTTACACCCACGTAGGAGACCCAGAAGAAGCTCCTGGCTCCTGGTTCCATACTGGTCCAGTTTGGCAGCTGCAGGCACTTGTGGGAACCAGCAAATGGAAGCTGTCTCTCTCTCTCTCTCTCTCCTTCTCTGACTCTCCTCTCAGTGTAAAATCTGCCTTTAAAAGAAAAAAAGTAGTAAAATTACCATGAAAATCAAATTTAATGATGAAAGAATGAACGTTTTCCCTTAGGGGAAATAAAAAACAAGACAAGAAAAGCTTTGAGTTCCAGTCCCAGCTGCTCCACTTCAGATCCAGGAGCCTGAATAATGGCCTGGGGAAAGCACGAGAAGGCCCCAGCTATTTGGGCCCTGCAACCAGCATGGGAGATCCGGATGAAACTAATGATTTCAGTCTGGTCCTCCCTGGCCATTGCGACCATTTGAGGAAGAGAGACAGCAGACAGAAAAATCTCTTCTCTGTCTCTCATCTTTCTGCAGTTCTTTCAAATAAATATGTAAATAAATCTTTTTGTTTGTTTTAAACACAGAGTAGCTGTTGTGGCACAGTGGTTAAGCTGCTATGCCACAGCCAAGTGTTCGTCTGAATCCTGCCATCTCTGCTCCCGCTCCAGCTTCCTACTAACACATTCTGCCGGGCAACAGTTCCTGGGTTCCTGCCTTCTACATGACAGACCCAGTACAGTTCTGGGCTCCTGGCGACAGCCTGGTCCACCCTGGCTATTGTGGGCATGTGGGGAGCCAATCAACAGATACAAGATTTCTCTCTGTTGCTCTTTTCTTTCCTTTTTCTTTTTTTTTTTTAAGATTTATTTTTATTACAAAGTCAGATATACAGAGAGGAGGAGATACAGAGAAGAAGGTCATCCATCTGCTGGTTCATTCCCCAAGTGGACACAAAGGACAGAGCTGAGCTGATCCGAAGCCAGGAGCCAGGAGTCGCCTCTGGGTCTCCCACGGTGGTGCAGGGTCCCAAGGTTTGCGACCATCCTCCAATGCTTTCCCCAGCCACAAGCAGGGGGAGCTGGATGGGAAGCAGCCAAGATACAAACCGGCACCCAGATGGCATCCCGGAAGATGTAAGGCGAGGACTTGAGCCACTAGGCTTCAGTGCCTGTCCTTTTTTCTTTTTTGTTACAGATCTATAATTTAGTTGTTTTACTGAAAAGCAGATCTACAGTGAGAAGGAGAGATGAAGAAAAAGATCTTGTATGTACTGGTTCACTTCTCAAATGGCTACAGGTGAGAGCTGAGCCAATTCGAGGCCAGCAAGGTGCAGGGTCCCAAGGCTTTGGGCCGTCCTCCACTGCTTTCCCAGGCCACAAGCAGGGAGCTGGATGGGAAGCGGGGCAGTCAGGACAGGAATTGGCACCGAAGTGTGATCCCGTTGCTTGCAAGGTAAGGATTTAACTCCGGAGCCACCGCGCAGAGCCCTCTCTCTTTCTCTTTCCCAATCTCATTGTCTCTTCCCCTGCCACCTTTTAAGTATATAAAAATTAAAATTAAAAAATCAGCCTCTCCCAAATATAACATTTCTAATAAAGTAGGAGGCAAATGCTTCCTCTCAGAAAACCACTCTCCAGGGAAAATCCCTGCAAATAATATTGTGCTTCCCTCCTAGGTATTTGCTAGAGACCTTTCTAACTGCAAGTCATAGCAGCAAATGACTGATCAAGTCAATTAATCTTTGACAAGGTAACAAAATAATTCAATGAAAAAAGATCTTTTTATCAATTAGTAATGAAACAAATTGGGTGGTCATCGCTAAAAAAAAAAATCAGCTATATCTGATTCATAAAAAAAGTACTTAAAATGGTCTAAACAACAAATAGGCCTAACACTTTTTGAAACCCAATAATCACATTTCCCATAAAGTTTCTGGAGTACTCTCACAGGTGAAATCTACACTAGTTCCTGAGACGGGAGATTGAGCATCCGTAGTCCCAGTGAATATCTGCAGCACTAGAACTCTCAGAACACTGGTGAGAATTCAAAATGGCACAGCCACCTTGGAAAGAGCTATGAATGTACACTAGTCATTCTACTCCCAGCTAGTTATTCAAGAGAAGTAAAATGTGTTCCGTGTTTATGCAACGTTACCTGTGACAACCTAAAGCTAGAAACCTCTAAACTGGGAACATGGATGAGTAAGCTTCAGCACTCTCAGAGGATGGGATTCTCAGATCATTTACAGAAACACCTACAGGGCTGGGACTGTGGTATGGCACCTGTGATGCTGACATGTCACAGGAGTACCAGTTCATGTCTTAGCGGCTCCACTTGCAATGCAGCTCCCTGTACAAGACCCGAGCTCCAGCCTCCGGCACATGTGCTCACTGGGGAGTGAACCAGCACAAGGAAGATGTCTACCCCCCTCTCTCTCCGTAACTCTGCCTTTGAAACAAACAAGTAAACCTTTAAACAGCAGCAAACAACCATATATACAAAAATGACCCTCAAATTAACCATACTGAAGGAATGAAGGCAGCACAAGAGGCCTCCTGAATTCTTTCAGTTCCATAAAATTCTAGAAGCACAAACCACAGCAACAGAAAACAAACCCGTGGCTGCCTATGGACTGAGGGTGGGAAGAAACTCTTGGGATGATATCCGTGCTCAATATTTGATTTTGGTAATGGTTTCCAGAAGTATATACTAAGTTGTCTTCCAAAATCAACATCATGCCCTTTAGAACACACATTTTATTACATCAATCACATATTAGAACTATTAAACTTACAGAAAAAAGTCTTCTTCTTCATCTGAATCATCTTCCAAAAGATTTCTCTGTTATAAGAAAAAAAAAAGATTTGAATTTTCAAATTAGAGAGCTCACAAAATGCCAAAGCAATGAAACAAATTCCACATTAATGGAATTGCTCAACTCCAAGCTTCTACATATGCGTCAGCGGAGCTAAGAGATACACAACATTTGGATTCTATAACTGAGTCAGCCGTGGAGACCTGGATGGGCGTAAGGGATGCGATCAGGCAGGTGCAAGTCTTCTTCCTCTTGTGTTCTCAGTCTCCTTCTACCGGCAAAACTTGGTGGAGTCCAACATCAGAAAGGAAAGTATCAAAGGGTCAAGTTTACAGCAAAAACACAAAACTAATCGACATACTCTATCTTCTGGCTCCTCAGTCCGTGAAAAGCCTTTATAATTAAATGGAACTTCCAAACAAAAGCTACTTTATTTTTACCCAATGCTATGTGACAATCTCACTTAAGTCAACAGAAGACCATCTCACCATCTCCCCAGCAAGAAAAAAGCAAAGTTCCCAAAGAAGCATACATAAATAATGTTCCCTGGGGCCTAGTGTCTGAAGCCCTTGCCTTGCATGCACCAGGATCCCGCGTGGGTTCCAGTTCATGTCCCAGCTATTCTACTTCCCTTCCAGCTCCCAGTTTGTGGCCTGGGAAAGCAGTAGAGGATGGCTCAAAGCCTCGAGTTCTTGTACCCATGCAAGAGACCCAGAGGGGGCTCCTGGCTCCAGGCTCCTGGCTTTAATCAGCTTAGCAATGGCAGTTGAGACCACTTGCGGAGTGAAACAGTGGACAGACGATCTTTCTGTCCCTCTTTCTCTCTGTAAAAATCTGACTTTCTAACAAGAATAAAGAAAAATTTGTTAAATTAATTAATAAAACAAGCAAGCCAGCCCTCCTAAAGATGTCTAGGGCCCCTTCCCTGGGACTCAGGTTGAAGGCACTGTGCATGTGACCCGGGATTTTCAGCATCACCAAGAGGGTTCCTTCTCAAGGGAGGAATGGGCAGGAACGGAAGACCACAGTTTCCACCGCTAGCTTTGAATACAGGCTGGCTGGCTCCAGGAGTTAGGAAACGGGAGGGACCAGCACTTCCCCCAGGGCCTCCACCAGGAACAGCCCTGCTTGCTGGCTGGAAGTCCTGAAAGACTCATTTTTGGCCTTGCTTTTTTTACCTGAATTGTAAGAATAATAAATGTACGTTGTTTTAAATTTGTGACATTTTCTTACAGTAGCAATAGGAAAGTAATGTACTACTCATCTATCGCCCGTCAGGAAGTTACTCAAGAAATTACACCATCAGGAATGAAAATTACATCATAATACTTTAACACAGAGATTGATAAAATAAATGCAGCTAATCAGATATGTAGTCACGATGACGATGTGCTTGTGAACGCAAGTTAAAGCTTCTGAAAAAGAGAAGCTATACAGTAAGGTAAAGTTTTAAAGGGGTCTAATTTTTTTAAACAAAGAGTGGCAGCTGGGGGTAGGGAGAGTGAAGTGAGGAAGTGAAAGAGTATTCACGTGCTTGGGCCTGACGGTGGCCTAGCGGCTAAAGCCCTGCACACGCCAGATTCCATATGGGCACCAGTTCTAATCCTGGATGCCCCACTTCCCTCCAAGCTCCCTGCTTGTGACCTAGGAAAGCAGTAAAGGATGGCCCAAAGTCTTGGGACCCTGCGCCCTCATGGCAGACTCAGAAGACGCTACAGGCTCCTGGCTCCAAATCAGCTCAGCTCCAGCCATTCCGGCCACTTTGGGAGTGAATTAGTGGGCGTAAGATCTTTCTGTCTCTGCTTCTTTCTGTAAATCTGACTTTCTAATAAAAACAATTAAATAAACCTTAAAGATTTATTAAAGTAAAAGAACACATTAACATGCTCACTCTGGTGAGGGGTGGAATGAAGGAAGGGGGAAGCAGGCTAGAATTAAGAAGTGAAACGACAGAAGGGGCACAGCTCTGGCGTACTCAAGAGCATGGCTGCACTTAGAGCATGACCTTAGATGTATTTATGAAACCAGAGGCTGAAACTACATAAGCATTTAACTCTTTTGATGACTTAGTTATTCTTACATAACCCACAACCTCAAAAGTCTTAAAAAATTTTTCATGGGGCCTGACATGGTAGCCTAGCAGCCAAAGTCCTCGCCTTGTATACACTGGGATACGGGTGCCAGTTCTAATCCCAGCAGCCCCACCTTCCATCCAGCTCCCTGCTTGTGGCCTGGGAAAGCAGTGGAGGACGGCCCAAAGCCTTGGGACTCTGCACCCATGTGGGACACCTGGAAGAGGCCGCTCCTGGCTTCAGATCAGCTCAACTCTGGCTGTCACAGCCACTTGGGGAGTGAATCAACAGACAGAAGATCTTCCTCTCTGTCTCTCCTTCTCCTTGTATATCTGCCTTTCCAATAAAAATAAATAAATAAATATCTTTTAGAAGACTTTTTTTTAAAAGGTGAAGAAGTTTCAGGAATTTGATTACATAAACATTTTAAAATTGAATTAAGACATCAAAAACCAGGGTGAAAAGCAAATAATGGGGGAGGGTGCTGCGGATGGATATAAAATGCCTTCAGAGAAAAGGTGTGAAAGCTGGATTATATAAATAACTTCAAAAAAACAAAAAAAGAGACATTACAGAAAAAAACAGCAAAATGCTAAGAAGGTAGTTTTCAATAAATAAATGGATAACTATCACAAGAAAATTCAAAATCAGTAATATTCAGGGAAATGTACGCTATCATTCATTCACTATGTCTTGAGTGATGGTGTAACTGAAAAGCAAGAGTCATGAAAGCTGACTTGCTTTGGAGGATGACAATAAACATAAGGTATACTTATTCCAGGCGTACTCCTGAGAAACATGCATGGACACTAACACCCATTTTTGACTGAACAAACATGGTTTTAGAGATACAATGTCAAAATATAATGATGGTGTGTCAGGGGGACAGCCCTGTGGCAGAGCTACTTACATCACCACCTGCAGAGCTGGCAAGCCACAGGGGTACCAGCTGGAGTCTCCTCTCCCGATGGGGCTCCCAGCAGTGGAGGATGGTCCAAGCGCTGCGCCCCCTTCAGCGCCACCCCCACAGAAGAGACTAAACTCCTGGCTTGCACTCGACCTGGCTTTGGCCACTGCAGCCATTCCGGCCTGAGCCTACAGATGGAAGATCTCTCTCCCTCCCTGTCTGCAACTGAGCTTTTCAAATAAATACATGTTTTTAAAATCTTTTTATATATATGTAAAAGTATAACATATATACTATATATAATATATACATAAATATATAGTAACACAATGACACAAATGTATACCCATATTACTACGCAAACAGAAAGCACTGGTGAGGATGTGGAAAACTGGAACCGCCTTACACACTGCGGGTGGGAATGTAAAAATTGTCCAGCCACACTGGAGAATGGTTTGGCAGTTCTTCAAATGTTTCAAAAGACTCACTATTAATACCTAGTAATTCTACGTCAAGGTGTATACCTAAATGAAATTAACATATACTTAAAACGAAAAAACTTACACTAATATCCACAGTTGCAGTCATAATAGCCAAAACACAGGGGGAAAAAACCCAACATCCTTAACTGATGAATGGGTGACTAAAAATGTGGTATATTCATACAATGAAATATTATTCTGTGCTAAAAATAAAGTATTGACACACACACTTTTGAATGTTAAAATTATCTTGCTAAATCAAATACACAAGGCACAAAAGGCTACACAGCAATGATGTGATTTATAGTGATGCCTAGAAAGAAAGACGTACAGATTTGTGGTTGCCTGGGGTGGAGGAGATGAGGAGAATGGATGACTGCAAACAGATGTGGAGTTTTTTTTACCAGTGATGAAAGCATCTAATTTAGTTTACCATGGTGGTTGTGTCACTCTGAATGTACTAAGCTCACTAAATCAAACACTTCAAGTGGGCGAATTGTATGGTTTATGAATTCTATTAGCAGTAAGGCTATTATGAAAAATATAACAAGAAAAAGCAACAAAACCTAAAAAAATTTCAGAAGCAATTTATAAAATATTAAAACTAAACAGGCAATGTTGAATTTTGTTCAGTTCTGAAGTCCAATACCCAGCTCTTATCATGGATGGCAACCGACCCACAACAGAAGGACTAACAGTTACAGTCTCAGCAACACAACTGATTGAGACTGCTTATTTTATGTCGTAAGTTTGACTTCAAAAAGCTAATGAAAATTTATATGTTGGTGTTTTTACTCACCAAAATAAAAGGAAAACACAAACAGAGACTACAGGAAAGGCAAATGTTTCTTGTACAAAAATAAATACTTAGATCATCAGATGTTACACAGAACAGTTGACATTAAGTTATAAGATTATGCTAAAAAAAGGACCATGTAAAATACAATCAAATAAACCAAAATCAAACCCTAACCTCCTGAGGGTCACAGAACATGTTCTTCGCTTTACAATAACCATCAACAAGCATCTGTTAAACACAGGCACTATGGCAAGTTCCTGACAAGGAATAAATATCTCCTGAATAAATCAGCAAAGTAAAGAATAGCAAGGAGAAAAGAATGTTTTTCTGAATTAAAAAATAACAACAGATTCCTCCCCTTAATAACTACGGAATACCCATTTTCTTAGAGATTTATTTTTTTCTTACTGAAAAGTCAGATTTACAGAGGGAAGGAGAGACAGAGGGAAATTTCTTCTCAAGTGACTGCAATGACCGGATCCAGCCAATCAGGAGCCAGGAGCCTCTTCCGGGTATCCCATGCAGGTGCAGGGTCCCAAGGCCTTAGCCCATCCTCGACTGCCTTCCCAAGCCACAAGCAGGGAACTGGATCAGAAGTGGAGCGGCTGGGATTAGAACCACCGTCCATATGGGATCCTGGCACATGCAAGGTGAGGACTTTAGCCACTAGGCTATTGTGCCGGTCCTGGAATACTTATTCTAAAGATAACATATCTACTATAATCATATCAAAAGTTTTTTAAACTGTTGCATAATTTCCAAAGTTGTAACTGATTGTACAGAGACTCTAAGAATGAACTGGAAATTGAAGCATTTTATTAAAAGTGTACTGGATTCTGAGATGATTACAGGTTTATAATCCTTTGTCTACCACTACAAAATCTAAAAAGTTTAAAACCAAAACAACAGAATTGATTTTGAAGAAAGCTTGATCTGAAATGACACTAATTTACGTATATACATGTAAATATAAAGTATATAAATAGTTAGATAATCATTAATATTAATATGGTTTGAAGTGCTGACCCAGACTGCAGAAGAGGCTGTTACATAACATACACTTAAGATCTGAAAAAGTTCTGAATGCCAAATACACTTGGCTCCAGAGATCTAACAGACTGTGTATTTGTATAAAAGTTCCCTTGAAAGACTAGAAAGATGCTGAAAGCACAATGATTTCAGTGTAACTGAGCTGCAAATCTAAGTTAACATCAACTTCTAAATACGCCAACTATGAAGAAAACACGTAAGATGAGAAAACTCCAAGAGAAGGCCTCGAACCACCGCTGCCCACCCAGCACACTTCCCTGTCCGAGGCCCCGCATTCCCACTCCGCCATCTCTCAGCTTCCTCCCTCAGGCAGGTGAGTCCAGAGACCAGGATCCCTGCTGCAGTCGTCCTTTCATCCAAGCCAGCTAGGTTATCTGAATGTAGGTCAGCCGACCCCCTTTCAGAAGGGGTCCTGGCTCCATCCCTGGAGGCAAGTAGAGGAGAATCTGAACAGACGTCCAATCTGTTCCTTCCAGATCATACCTCCACTATGCGATCAGTCCTGCACAGACCTGAGCACGAGAAGCAACACTTCAGCCTGGGTCCTCTAGTCATGCGGGACTCAGACCAACTACATCATACTCTTTCTTCCTGCTAGCCTGCCCTCTGTAACTGAGTGTCCACCATGCACCTTTATGACGGGCTGCAAAAGACCACCTCCCTTCCTGCCCCTATAACGGCCATAAAAGTTAGGTTTCTTTCCTATTATTTACAAAGGGAATGAAAGCAGGTTTTTGGTATTTCCAAACTCAAGACTGAACTCACCCTTTCACTTTTCACAGAACCAGTGACATCATCATCATTCAGGTGGCGCTTGAACTTGGGAGGCATATTTTTTCCTCTTCTCCCCGCGAGAACGAGAGCTCACACCTTAAAGAGAAAATAAATGTCATCAGATTGACACTCCAGGGTATAAACCACTGAAAACACAAAGCCTGGAATCTCGCTTCAATCACACTCCGACTTGCCCCATGCCAGGAGCCCGGCCTGTGTGCTAGGCTTCCACTCATAAGGAATGGCTAAAACTGTGAGCAAACGGATGCAACTGCCCTAAGAGAACATGTGTGCAGTGACTCTAGGTTTTTGTAAGAGAAAAGTAGTAGAGAATTTACGGGGCGGCCCTCTGCAAATGCCATTAACTGCTTTATCGTTTTACTGCAGTCAGAAGGCAGTGGCACACTTCTAGACCTCCGTCGTTTAGTTAGCTCTTGGCAATCATGCAGTCCCCACTGTAGAACGGAGTTTATCTGGCATCTACCTGGGATTGAGAGGGTCAAGTCAGATAATACATGCAAAAGTATTCTACACACTACGGTGTCCCAGGGGTGCTCCAGGAAAAGGAATAAGCACTTGTGTGACGTTATGATTTATGTGTGTACATATAAGCATATGTTATATATTTAATATTTGGTCTTCACCCTGTTCCCTGACATATGGCTCCTAAAACACCTGGCATCTCCTGGAATGTTAACAGTGTCTTCTACATATTAGCAGGCTCAAAGGTAGACCGGGATGGATTCAGGAAAGATAAAGTCATGACTAGGAGTTGGCACTGCTCAGCTCCAACTGTAACAATTAGGGAGACAAAGGGAGGTTGAGGTACAGTGCAATGGTCAGTGATGTAACTGACCACGCCTACTAAGAAAGCCTCTACACAATCTCCACAGCTCAAGAGATTTGGGGGAGTTAAAGATGCAGAGGTTCCAGCAGAGGGCAAGCCCGGAGCAGACCCGGAACCTCCACACATCTCCCCCATCTTGCCTTGTGCGTCTCTTCCGATCCATCTGAACTCTTTTGCATCCTTTGTTAGACCCTTGATAAGCTGGATACAAGCTGCTCTAACTCCTATCAGCCCCTTGACCAAGTGAACTGAATCCCAGGAAGGGGTGATGGACACCTTGATTCTTAGCTAGTTTGTAAGAAACAACCTGGGGCTTGAGACTAGCATCTTAGGTGGGGGCCACGCTGTGGACTGAGCTCTCAACCTATGGGGTCTGACAGTGGCAGAACCGGGTGTGCCTCAGATAACCTGTGGAATAATTAATTACTTGCTCCCCCCCAACACTTTCTGGGGTCAAAGAAGTTCTATGTTGTTTCATGGTTTAAAAAAAAAAAAAGGCTGCGTTTGCTTTCCTTACATAGGAACAGCTGGGTTAAACAGTCCCAGTTCACCATCTCAGCCTCTCATGTGTTAATCTGCATAGTAACTTTCCAGGAAAATGCTTGAATATGCAACATAATTAAAATTTTCTTGAGAAAAAGCTGTCCTATGCAAATATGTTCAGCCTTTTGAACTAGATAGCAATTCGGAATATTTAGCAATTCGGCTGAGATGTACTGAATGCTTGACTAAGGGCTAGCGACACACATGCACTTTGTCTTTCTGTATGATATGCCTCTGAAGCAAGTGCAGAGAAACTAAGAAGCAAGGCTTAGTGAAGACAAGTCACAGTACTTCAGTTACTGAAATAGCAGAACCATAAGCCTAAAAGGCTAGACAGTTGTGCCTTCTCAGTTTCATTTATTTGAGAAGATGGAGAAAGGAAGACAGAGAGACAGGAAGGGCGAGGGAGAAGCGGCTGGTGCTGCGGCAGGAGAGTAGCTACTCGCACCCACTGGCTCACACAGCGGCCACGGAAGGGGCCATCAACTGATGCCGGGAGCCTGAAACCCAACCCAGAATCCCAGCCACTTAGGCAGCCTCCCAAGCTGAAGCCGGAGCTGCGGCCAGAACAGGATCAGGGTACTCAGACAGGGATGCAAGCAGCCTAACCACGTCCTCAAATCAGCTTTAATGGTCACTCAAGTAGCTGCCATTAGGTTGCACAGTTCTGTTCCAGAAAACACATTTCCCTACGACAACCCAGGAGCTCGGTCCCTTTTCCATAGGAATTTCAGATCTTGAAACTGCACACTGTTAGACATTAGTTAGTGCTGAGCACTAAAAAAACAACAAAGAACAGCGTATAGTCTCATAAACCTAAGAAAAGTAGTATTTTGGATGAGCTTCCTGTAAAAAAAAAAATTTGATATGAAATATTTCCAAGTCAGAAATTCAACCACTTGTCACAAAACCAGTCTTGTGACCTAAGTAACAGTACCCATTCCACAGTTGTTCTGTCACACTCATCATGTCCACTTTGCTCCTCATATGTTGATTTCAGCATATCTCATTCATGCAGAAATGCATGGAAAAAAGAATGACAGAGCAAATACCTGGGGAGTTGAGCTTTTCTTATTTGTTTGTTTATATATGAGAAAGATTGCTCAGCAGTCCCAAACAAGTACCAGGATGACCTGTCAAATGCTCTTCTAAGATACAAAGCTAAAAGCTCTCACAAGCCAAGAGCCAACCTCACCAAGGTAGGAAACCCAGGGCTGCCAGCAGGCAAATCAATGAATGCTTGATGAGTCATAAGGCATGATGTTTGTATCAACCCCCAGAAATAAAGTCAGGTCCTAGGCATGCACACATCCGGAGAGTTCTACCAAAAAAAGTACATGTGAATCCAGGTGCTTGCGTGCAGGTATGTATGTAAATATGAGACCCACTATTATACACTTTCATCCCGGTACACAATTCACTTGAAAAATGTCACAACATGGTGTATGTTTACATCACCACACGTTAAAACAAGTCTCATGTATGCTTTTTAGCACTCCGTTCCCTATATTCCACGGCTTTATATGTAATAACCTTCTTACTAAGTGTTGACTTCTGCTTTGCAAAGAAAACTAACCAAGAAATACAATCCCTCCATTCAACAATTCATATTGTTCATTTCACAAAAGGAAAAAAAAAAGCTGGAATTTGGGCAAAGGCTTTCCTCTCCCCAGTCTCCATTCCCATCTCAGTAGCTTTGCGCTCTCAGAAACACAGCGATGTGAACCGACAGATGTTACCACCAAGGCTGTCAGGCGCAAGGAGACCCCCCAGCTTCCGTCGTGACAAACGCACTGTCCCTTCTCCAGAGCCTTCCATCTCTTCCGACGGGGCGCAGAGTGCACCGCCCGCAGGCCCCAACATCTGCTCCTGACTCGGGCCCCTCCTGCCCAGACACACCGAGGACCACGCAGACCCGTCCGCGGCACCAGTCCCTCCCAGTTCTCCCACAACCGCCCCGACCGCCGGCCCCGGACCTGGGGCCGCTCCGCTCGCTGCCTCCTCACAGCAGCCTCCCGCCGGGACGAGGCCGGCCGCCTACCTGAGGCTCCGGGGCGCTCCGGGCAGCTCTCCCGTCGGGCAGGCGGGGGGCGGCAGGCGGGGGCCGGCAGGGGAGCCCGGGGCCGGAGCGGGAGGCCGGCAGGGGAGGCCGAGGTCGGGTAGGGGAGGCCGAGGTCGGGCAGGGGAGGCCGAGGCCGGCAGGGGAGCCCGGGGCCAGCAGGGGAGGCCGAGGTCGGGCAGGGGAGGCCCTGGACGCGGACCGGCGTCGGTCGCTGCGCCGCAGATGCGCCCCCGCGCAGCGAGCCGCTCGGCGCTCCGCCCGTGGCGCGTCGAGCGCCGAAGGAGTCGATCGGCCCCGCGCCTCTAGCCCGGAGAGGTCCGACCTCCTGTCCGGCTGGAGGGGCGCGGGCCGAGCCGGTTGGGAAGGGGCGCCCGGGCTGAGCCGGGTGGGAAGGGGCGCCCGGGCTGAGCCGGGTGGGAAGGGGCGCGGGCCGAGCCGGGTGGGAAGGGGCGCGGGCCGAGCCGGGTGGGAAGGGGCGCGGGCTGTGCCGGGTGGGAAGGGGCCCGGGCTGTACCGGGTGGGAAGGGGCGCTGGCGTCAGGATGGGAAGGGGCGCGGACTGTGCCGGGTGGGAAGGGGCGCGGACTGTGCCGGGTGGGAAGGGGCCCGGGCTGTGCCGGGTGGGAAGGGGCGCGGGCCGTGCCGGGTGGGAAGGGGCGCTGGCGTCAGGCTGGAGGCGCCCGGGCGTGCGGTGCGTGACTGGGATTCCTGAGGCGAGGAGGTCGGGGGTGAGATCCGTCCTCAGGCTTCGAAAGTGGCATGGGAAGAGGAGGCCGGCTGAGTTAGAGGAAGGCGAGGATGGGCCGAGGGGGGTGTCCGCTGCTGCTTCGCTGGACCTGGACGGCCTCTTGTCCAGGGCCAGGTGCAGGGGGTTGGAAATGGGCCTCGCCTAGAGCTGAGCCGGAGACAACCCCAACCCCCACAGGTAACCCGGGAGTCATTTCTAAGAACCGGATTTTACAGGGCTCAAACAGGAGCTGTGAAGTGCAATGCCATCATTGCAACTGGCTGTGTACCTGGCTGCAGCACAGCACAAGTGCCTGGCTTATACAGGCAATGAGCAACAATTCCGTTATTAAGGCAAGTGAAGGACAACTTTACCTTGCTTGGGAAAAAAAAAAACAAAAACGGATTTTGTCTTGCTTTAAGGGTCTTTGCTGCCTTAGCCAGGAGAACATTAGCCCACCAGCCTTAGCTCTTCCACACGAACAACTGAAGAAATGTAATGTGGTGGTTGAGGCATATGGGCATGCTGTTGCATAGGTTTGTGGATTTTCTCTTGCTTAGCCTTTTATTTACGGTTTTAATCTATTTAGCTTGAAAGGTGGAGTGAAAGAGAGAGGGGGACAGAGACAAATACGTCTCCTGTTCCCTGAAACACCACCCCGAAGGCTCCAGCAGGCAGGGCAGCTGGGAGCTGGAGCCTGGCCTCCTGTGGGCATGGCGGAGGCCAGGCACCTGGGCGTTTTCTGCTGCATTCCTACACGTTAGCTGGGAAACAACTGAAGCTCCAGCCAGGCTCTGAGCCGGGTGCCAGCATCATTAACGCGCCGAGCCCAAGCCTGGCCCCTTAGTTTAACCGTAGTTCTTCAATTCTGCCGATCCTTTTGAAGGAGAAATCCAGGCTTCACTTTTAGTCCGCTGAGCAAATTCCCTTTGATTATCCTTAACTTTTATAAAAACTTAGAAAATGTCATTATGTAGTTACTGTGAATCCAATATGCCAATAACCCTGAGTGTGGAGTCAGAACTCCGACTTGAATTATGTGGTTATTCTTTCCCCTAATTTCTCTCTCATTAGCTCTAATTATCCAGATGATAATCCTTGAATGTTCTTCATTTTTCCTTTCTTTCTGTTTTTAAAATTTTCTTGTTGTGGGCCTGGCGCGATGGCGCAGTGGGTTAGGGTTCTCACCTTGCACGCCCCGGATCCCATATGGGCACCGGTTCTAATCCCGGCAGCCCTGCTTCCCATCCAGCTCCCTGCCCGTGGCCCGGGAAGGCAGTCGAGGACGGCCCAAAGCTTTGGGACCCTGCACCCGCGTGGGAGACCCGGAAGAAGCTCCTGGCTTCGGATCGGCATAGCATCGACAGTTGCGCTCACTTGGGGAGTGAATCATCGGATGGAAGATCTTCCTCTCTGTCTCTCCTCTCTGTGTATCCGCCTTTCCAATAAAAAAAGAAAAAATTAAAAAAAAAATTGAGAACAAAATACTGGGACCAAGAGCATCCATGGGATACTATTGTTTTCACAAGAAAATTTTCCCCTCTATTAAGCTTAAAAAAAAAGCTTTCTGAATTCCACATGTTTCAAGGAGAAATCGTTTTGAGTCTGAATCAGGCGTAGTTCTTGCCTCTTTCTCCCTCCTAAACTCATAGTCTTCTACGATCCCAATTTTCTGTCTCTAGCCCTGTAAAAACAGCTCGGATCCAGTGTCTGTGTGCAGCGGGGAGGTTGGCTCAGGGAAAGTCCCAGCGCCCACCATGATGCCCTGCGTTCAGGTCCGCAAGTGTCTCCAGCACCAAGGCAGCTGGAGATGGTCAGCTCACCTGTGTCCGGCTGGCCCTGGAGTCTTGGTCCTCCCGGTGTCATCACTTCAGCAGCCCTCTCACTACCACACAGTACCGACCGGCATTTCTGTTTGTTCTTAACTAATTGAATGTTGTTACCAAAAGCCTTATGAAAATGCAACATCCAGAGATGTAGATTTAGATATTTAGGGGTCTGGCACGGTGGCCTAGTTTCTTTTCTTCTTTTTTTTTTTTTTTAAAGATAATTTTATTTTATCATAAAGTCAGATATACAGAGAGGAGCAGAGGCAGAGAGGAAGCTCTTCTGTCCGATGATTCACTCCCTAAGCTGCCACAATAGCTGAAGCTGAGCCAATCTGAAGCCAGGAACCAGGAGCTTCTTCGAGTCTCCCACACGGGTGCAGGGTCCTAAGGCTTTTGGCCATCCTTGACTGTTTTCCCAGGACACAGGCAGGGAGTTGGATGGGAAGTGGGGCTACCGGGAACTGGCACCCATATGAGATCCTGGCATGTGTGAGGCAAGGACCGGTAGCCTATTTTCTAAAGTCCTCACTTGCCACGCGCAGGGATCCCATGCAGGCACAGGTTCATATCCCAGTTGTTTTCAAATGGCTTCATCTAAACTCAGCTTGCATTTTAAATACGCTGGAGTTGGAGACAGTTTGTAGGAAGCCATGGGTTTAGGTTGGACATCTGCACTGGGTCCTACACGTAAAGCCAATAGTGTTCCATTGCGGTAACTGATTTGGTTGCAGAAGGCCCTGCAACCAGTTAACTGATAGCAGTAGGGAAGCTGCTTTTCTGCCAAGGGTCATTTGGATATTTATACCATCATTCATGGGCCACACAAAATGATCTACTTAAAAATGAGCCTGCAGTTTAATTGGATTTTGAGACCTGCCTGCAGCTGCGTTGGCAGGGCCAGGCCAAATGATTCTGTGCAGCAGACACTTCCCAACCCTGGAGTTTGTCGGCAGTTAACGGATGAAGCTCTAACCAGCTGATTGGTAGTTACCCAGGCTGTGGTTCTTCAGGTGTTTTCTATGTAGGACTTCCACTTTTCTGTGAAACTTATCATATTGCATAATTCATAAGTGTTCTCAGCACCTGCTCTGGTTCTGGGAGCTGCTTGGTTGGCAAATTGTTTCTTTTTCGCTCAAATAAGCACTGCTCAATTTATTCAGCCTAAATGCTTTTAGGTAACTGTTCTGGGGAGGTGTGCTAACACCGACTGGCTCACAATAACCATTGCTGGTGACAATACACACCTACCAGTTACATATGTTTTTTCATGATACATCGTTACATTTAATAAATATTGAGACAAGCGTTTCAAGTCAGTACATAGTTTAAAAGATTTGTGCCAGACTCTAATGTTAAAATACATCTTTTTTTTTTTGCTAATCATTTGCACAATTGTAGAAATTTCTTGCACGTTGTAGCTTAAATTGCTCTGGTTGTTACTGCTTGCTCAGGCTCAACAGGAGACAGGTGAGTCTGTATTGCGAACAGTGAGTGTGTATTTCTAGGGCACAATAAGGACCTGGAGCTGTTATGTACCATGCCCTTAACAAGCAGGATGACAGGAACAAAGGAAGCACAGCAGCCGAAAGTCCTTGTAGAGGCCTGCAGAAGGCTTCTGTGTCGCGCTCATAAAGCGATGCTTACCCACTCAGGCAGGTAACAGAACCTTTCCACTCTTTCTTGGGGTAGCGTTCTCTCATAGAATGGGGGGGGGAGGGGCGGACACATCCGATCTCCTTGAATCTTATATTCACAGCGCCTCCGAGGGGCCCCTTGCGGACGATCTTTGCAATTATTGAATGTGCCTTTCACGTGACTGCCTTGCTTGCATAGCCTCCTTAGCGCTGTGGCTCACACTCGGGGATTCCAACCTTGACTGCTGCGGAGCACGGGGGTTGGAAGCCACGGCTTCTTTGCTCGTCATTGTGTAACACTTGAAGCGCAAGCACTGACCTCAGGTCTCCAAAATGTTTTCTGGACTAACTCAGGTCTGACCCGGGAAGAATCTTGTGTAATGTAGTAGCTGAGGGCTTGGAGGGGCCTTCCGCCTCTCTTTATAAACTCAACAATAGGAGAATGAAAACTTTTCAAAAAATGTTATTGGTAGGAAGCTTTTAAATGAGCCTTAACCACATCCATTTGGACTTCTCTCTAAATTATAGTGTTGGAACTGCATCCTCATAGTTCCCCACACCAAGATCATCCACCCCACGTGAGAAGCCTTAGAGACAAACTACTGCCCGCCTGCCCCTAAGACGGTGAGAACAGTGGGTCTCAGCCTTGTGTTTGAGCAAGACCCCCGAAAACTCTGCCCCAGGCCAGGTTGGAGAGCCACTCTTCTGAAAACCAATTTAATTTCACTTTCATCTATGAAGCTACTTCAAAAAGTTTGGGGGAAATGAAATTAAATCATAGGTTTATTTTGGTGCAAGAAAATTGGCGAACTTCATCTTACTTAACCGTGAACAGTCTACCTGGCTATTTGTACTAGAGTAAGTTATAATAGTCTTAACTACAGATGCTCAATACATCTGCTCTCCGCACTCCTTACATTCCTTCTGTGACCTACCATAAACGCCGACATCGGAATGACAACCCAAGGAGCCTAGGAAAGTGAGTCCTAAGTTCTACTTCGTCGTTTTGAGGGCTGAAGAAGATGCAGGAGGCGCCTCTGAATGGCTGGCTGCTACCCTCTTGTTAAAATCCTCCTTTGGTGGAACCCTGTGTCTTGGTGCAGATAAAGTACAGCAGGGACCATTTTCTTCCCAAAGTCAGCGGGACAGGGGCAGGCAGTGCATAGGAGCACAACACGGGCAGAAGGCGAGGTTCTCCCTCACGGCTTCTCCTCGGATCCTCGGGGCCGGTCCTGCTGAGGCCCGGCTGCAGAGGAGCCCGGCTTCCCCGGAGCTGCGCCCCGCCGTCCGCGCAGAGCACGCCGCCCCGCCGCCCCGCCGCCCCGCCGCCCCGCCGCCCCGCCGCCCCGCCGCCCCGCCGCCCCGCCGCCCCGCCGCCCCGCCGCCCCGCCGCCCGCGCAGAGCAGGCCGCCCTCTGGCGGAACGTGGATGCGGCCTCTTCCGCCCTGACCCCGACACGCCTCACGCCAACAGGGCGCTCGGCGCCTGCGACCGAGACGCAGCCAATGGGATGCCAGGGAGGCAGAGCGATAACCAATGAGGTGCAGGGGTGGGCTGGGCTCCCGGCCAATCACAAGTCTTGGCAACCGGATATGGTTGCTGGGCTCTGAAACCTAAGCTCGGAAACAGTGAAGGGATCCACGTGGGGCAGGGGCGGCCGCACCGTGATGGCTTCGGCTGGTTGTTCGTGCTGAGCGAGGGGACAAACTCACGTGACTTTACATACCCCAGGGGACCGAGCCCCCATTAGGTACCTCAGGAGCAGGGTGTAGAAGACGCCGCTGGGGCCGGGGCAACATGAATCTCTTACCTAAAAGCTCCAAGGAGTTTGGCTCGGTTGACTATTGGGAGAAGTTCTTCCAGCAGCGAGGAAAGAAAGCTTTCGAGTGGTATGGGACCTACCTGGAACTGTGCGGGGTGCTGCACAAATACATCAAGCCCAGGGAGAAGGTGAGGCGCGCGGCCCGGCCGGCCCCGGTGTGCCCAGCGGGGGCTGGGGGACAGGCGGCCACTCGGGCGTTCCGTGTAAGGAGCTGGCTGCAGGACACTGTGTTCCCGTAAGGGTTTCCGCCAGTCGTCAGTGTTCCTCCTTGGAAGAGTGGCTTTTTTCGTTGCCCCTCCTGTAAGGCCTGCTTTTCCGTCTCTTGTATTCCTGTGGATTAGGCAGCTCGTGTGGGCGTCGTTGCTGTAGGTATGGCCTTCGCCTTATAGTTGGTGGCAGTGCCATTTGTCCGAAAGACAGAAGCGCTGCACTTACCGCACAGGTGTGCTGCCTGCACTGCTGCCACCTGTGCTGGCGGTGGGCGTGTGCTGGATGGAGGAAGGCCAAGGAGGGTAAAAAGCTACCTCAGAGAGCAGGTGTGCCGTGCAGAGCTTATTATGGGTGCTGTCTGTTGGAAGTCTTCATAAACGCAGCTGCGGGGTCCCCAGTCGGTCAGTGGTCACATGGAGGCTTCAGTCCAGGCCTGGGAGGCCGGCAAACCCTCCTGCCAGCGCAGCATCCCGAGTCCCGGCTGCTCCACTTCCCATCCAGCTCCCTGTCTGTGGCCTGGGAAAGCAGTGGAGGATGGTTCGGGTCCTTGGGACCCTGCCATTGCTGCCATCTGGGGAATGAACCATTGGATGGATGATCTCTCTGTGTGTCTCCTTCTCAATGTAAATTTGCCTTTTCAATAAAAAACAAAACAATCCAGGCCTGTCTAGCTCTAAAAGCTCTGTGACCTTGTAGCATGCTTTTCCAAAGATGGTGCCATCAGAGCGGAATTCTGGAAGATGAGTGGGGGTCACTCCACGAAGAGGCTTCAGAAAATAGCCAAGTGTCCTGAGATGGAATTTGGTGTGGTAAGATTTGAATTTTTGCAAAATGTTGTGTATTGTCTTGTGAGCCAGAGGCTTGAGTGGAGTGAGGGAATCAGTTATGCCAGCCCTTGGTTCTCAGCAGTAAAATCAGAGATTTCAACACTCGAAGTACTGTCTCGCTTTGTAGAAGACTTACTTTATTCGAAAGGTAGGTTTACAAAGAGAAGGAGAGACAGAAAGATCTTCCATCTGCTGGTTCACTCTCCAAATGGCCGCAACGACTGGGGGTGAACTGAGATGAAGCCGGGAGCTGGGAGCCTCCTCTGGCTCTCCCACGTGGGTGCAGGGTCTCTAGGCTTCGGGCCATCCTCAACTGCTTTCCCAACAAGCAGGGAGCTGGATGGGAAGTGAAGCTGGGATACAAAACTGCCCATGTGAGGTGCTAGCGCTTGCAATTGGAGGATAACCAGCTGAGCCACTGTTCCAGGCCTTGTGGTTTCCTCTTAATTTCCTAGTCATAGATACTTGTTTTTTAATTAATTTATTTTATTTTTATTGGAAAGACAGATATACAGAGAGGAGGGGAGACAGAGAGGAAGATCTTCCATCCGATGATTCACTCCCAAAGTGGCTGCAATGGCTGGAGCTGAGCCAATCCGAAGTCAGAAGCTTGGACCCTCTTCCAGGTCTCCCACACGGGTGCAGGGTCCCAAGGCTTTGGGCCGTCCTCGACTGCTTTCCCAGGCCACAGGCAGGGAGCTGGATGGGAAGTGGGGCTGCCGGGATTAGAACCAGCACCCATATGGAATCCCGGGTGCCATCAAGGCAAGGGCTTTAACTGCTACACTATGGTGCCGGGCCCATAAATACTTGTTTTAGCAAAAAGGATTAGTTTATTTCTGCAATGCGAAGCTCATTCTCATTTAAGCTGGATTGTAGCTCTGCCTGGGAGATCCTTTAACCTGTGGTGGCTCAGCCTGGAGTCTACACTGCACTCTGTAATCTGGCTTCCTCAGCATGGTAGCCTTTCTGCCTTCTGAGAATATGCAGTACCCGAGGTGAGACTGCTGTGTGTGCAGGACATGCATGTCTTGCCTTGCCTTGGGCCCCTCCATCCTGCTGTGCGTCTCTCTCCAGGTGCTGGTGATCGGTTGCGGCAACTCGGAGCTCAGCGAGCAGCTGTATGATGTGGGCTATCAGGACATAGTGAGCATTGACATCAGCGAGAGCGCCATCAAGCAGATGAGGGAGCGCAATGCCACGCGGCGGCCCCAGATGAGCTTCCTGAGGATGGACATGACGCAGATGGACTTCCCCAGTGCGTCGTTCCAGGTGGTGTTGGACAAGGGCACCCTGGACGCCGTGCTGACCGATGAGGGGGAGAAGACCCTGCAGCAGGTGGACAGGATGCTGGCTGAGGTCGGCCGCGTCCTGCAGGTGGGCGGGCGCTACCTGTGCATCTCCCTGGCTCAGGCTCACATCCTGAAGAAAGCAGTGGGGTACTTCTCTCGGGAGGGGTGGATGGTGAGGGTGCACCAAGTGGCCACCAGCCAGGACCAGGTGTTGGAAGCAGAGCCTCGGTTCTCCCTGCCCGTCTTTGCCTTCGTCATGACCAAGTTCAGGCCGGTCCCTGGCCGCACCCTCCAGATCTTTGAGCTGTGTGCTCAGGAGCAGGGCAAGCCCACACGGCTGGAGAGTGCTGAGCGGCTGGCGGAGGCAGTGCGGGAGCGGCAGCAGTATGCCTGGCTGTGTGGCCAGCTGCGCCGCAAGGCCGGGCTGGGGAATGTGTCTCTGGACTTGTGCGATGGGGACACAGGGGAACCACGCTACACCCTGCACGTGGTGGACAGCCCCACGGTGAAACCATCGAGGGACAATCATTTTGCCATTTTCATCAGTGAGTTGGGCTTGCTCCCTCTGATCCCTGGAGGGGCTGGGCTCTGGTGGACGGGTGTGTCTTCACTGTGTTTATCTTGCAAGAGGTGGCATTTCCAAAGGGTGAGACTAGCCAAGATATGGTGAAGGGAGGGTAACAGCTCCCCATCTACTTGGTTAGCTTTGAGACTAGTTGCTCCTAATTCCTTCTCATCTTTTGTAAAAGCTTGAAGAAGTACAAGTGAAGTTGGTAAGAAGCAGAGAGAACAGGCGTCAATTTAGCCAGATCGTATTTGCACAGAGATGTGGCTTTGCAGCAAGGAGTCGTGAAAGCAATGCTGGACTAGCAGGCTAAGACCTGAGCTGTGGCTTTTGGGAGTCACTTGCTTCTCTGCAGAATTTAGAGAAGCAGGACAGGAGAGTGGCTTCAGAGGGTGCTCTGGAACCAGACTATCTGGATCAGGGTCCCAGTCCTGCCTCAGTCACTGCCTGGGCTATGACATTGGACAGATTCCTTTTATTCCTTATCTGTGAAATGCATTCGTAGCTGCTGGGTAGCTGTGAGGTGAGTAAAAGCTCTTCGCATTCATGCTGGCACATTTCAAGTGTGTTATGAATGATCACTGTTACTACTGAAAGGAGTAAATGATAATAGGGAATA